CACATTATTTGTGTTGTTGGATTTTCCTCTGGATGGTATGTATGGTAACAAAGCTGCAAAGCAAATAATAATAATAATAATAATAAACTGACGGTGAACCTGTGCTATCACGTTACAGACTTGCAATTTCTCTATTAATTTCTTCATTTCCAATTTTTTCTTTCAAATTTATTATCATGTTTAGCCCCTACATAGTAGGGGCCCCTTGCTAGTTCTTGTAATTTGAAAGAAAAAAAGGCAAAAGAGAGAAAGAGTTGGTAGAAAGTGGCATTCTTGTAATTTGAAAAGAAAAAAAAGCAAAATTTACTGTTAGATTCCATTTCTTGCTTTCTTAGACCTTCTTTCATACACATTCCAACTTAATGTTTTTATATTGATAATTCGTCTATGGAAACTGTACTCTCTTGTGTGCTCATATTACAAACAAAATAAGACAATCAGCAAACAAATGAAAGAAAATGAAAAAAAAGCATGGAACCCGGGTTTGAATATAAATCAAGGAATAAACCCAACATTAGGTAACATATAAAAAGAAGTAATATTTAGAATAAATTATAGAGACCCTACTTGAAATGTTGGGGCAGTGACAATTATTTCCTTGAGTTTTCATTTGCGACAAAGACCCTTGAACTTTTGTTACAAAAACTCCCTCCATTAGAGTTTAACAGTTAATTTCAAAAAAGATTCTCATTCAGCTGTTTAAATTTTTTTAAATCTCTAAATTATCCTTTCCTTATTTATTTAAATGATTTATAATTTTATTAGTTTTCTAAATATAATATTGAAATCCTCTCGGTTGCTCTAATAGATTCTTGTAGATTTCTAAATAAATGATTTATTTAAGGTTTCATTTTGTTTTTCTTACTTTATTGGAGAAATGAATGGATAATTTCTATATGTTCTGATAAAGAGAAACATTCATGTCAATGAAATTAAAAAAGAATTTTAAAGAAACTTATTTTTTATATCAATAAAATGATTTTTGTTATTTTAGTTTATTTTGTTTAAAGAAATAAAAGTATTTTGGGTCAATTAGGATTTAGGGGGGCGTTCTTTTTTTGGATATTGAGAGGGTATCACTTACCTAGGGGGAAAGCTTCCCATCAAGGGGGAAAGTTTCCAACACTTGAATGGAACAAAAATGCCCCTTTTAATATTGAATTTTTATGAGTAAAATGGTCATTTTCTTTTTTATTTGGAAAATAAAAGAACATGGATAAATACACTTACCTGGATAAGTGTTTCCCAAGAAAAACTTACCCGAATAATTGTATTTACCCAAATAAATAAGTTACCAAAAAGCGAATTGCCACTAACCAAAAAGCGAAAAGAAAATAATTAAAATTCCTATAGATACTTTGTTAATTTAACACATTCTGTCTTTTGACTTAATGGTCAGGGGCTCAGGGCGGTATTTGTGGCAAAGTGAATATTAGAAGGGGTCTTTATTCCAAATGAAAGTTCGGAGCAATTGCCACTGACCCATAGTACAGGGTGGGCTTTATTGCTATTGAAATTTCAGGGGATGTACTTCGAATGAGCAACATATAATCTGTGTAACCCGTGCTGAAATAAACCCAACAATTGGACCTGTTCATGGGCCGGATTGCCTGATGTCTCGGCCTGGCCCAATTACGGGCTTGGTCCAGGTTTACACTTTTTCAAAAGTCTGATCCGAGTTCAAACCCGACTTGATAATGTATTATATAATAGAAATATATATAATATTTGTTTTCTTTATTATTATTCTCTTTTTTCAAGTAATAGTATGAGCTTTTATTTTTTTATTTAAAAAATTTTTAATATAAATAAAATAATTTTTAATTGAATAAAAAAACAATATTTTTTCTAAGTTTCTGACCAGATTCGGACTCGAACCTAAATATATTCTATTTATATAAAAGCAAAACCCGACTGAACTCGGCTTGACCCGGCCCATGAACTATGCCTACCAACAATTTATAGCTTTCAATTTTCAATTATTCTTTTACTTTTTTAAGAAATGGGTGGTAGAAAATAGAAACCACTGTGGGGAGAGCAGGTGACCCATTTTAAATCGAGTGCAACCCCAAGTTGTCCACTCTCCTCTCTCTCCATAAAGTGTACAAACACGACCGCAGAACTTGTATGGCCCATTCAAGAAACGCGGCCCCTGGGAAAAGTAAAAAACCAAATCTACATAGCTAGATTATGCTTTATATTGATGCTGTCCAATTAGGAATCCAACTATTGCCTCTATCTACCAACTCTAAACCAACTTCCATCCAATATCTGTCAGAGATCAGAAATCCCATCTTAGTTTCAGACCATGAAATACCTCTCTCTCTCTCGTCCATTTAATGGAGCTACTGTCGGTCAGGTTTGGGTCGAACTCAATTGTACCAAAACTATTCAGCTATTGCACAGGTCCTTATCATCATCCATGATTCATTCTTCATTCTATACCCACCTCTGTTCTTTATTTACCCTGAAATTCCATTTTCGCCCATACCCGTATTTTCAACCCTTTCAGGAACAAAAAGCAGCCATAAAAATGGTAGGTGAGTTTTGTATTACTAGTATTGACGTGGCAGTGAAGAAGGGTGCAGCGTACATGTTGCAGTGCCACGTGGGTCGCGTCCATCTCAAGCCCATTAATCCATTAATAATGCTGAGTTGATGACGCCGCCTGTTTTTTGATGTTTTAGGTAGGGGAAAGCAAAAAAAAATCGAAAAACAGAATCGATCAAAACTTAACCGAAAAATTTGATTAACCGAATCGATTGGTTCAGTTTCGGTTAATCATTTAAAAAAATCGACGGTTAATCGAACCGATCGATATATATACAGTAATATATATATATATATATATATATATATAGTTGAAAATCGAATAAAGTTTCAATTGAAAGTTTATTCAGCAATCTGTCTCTGTCAGAGTGCCAGACCGGAGATTAGTAGTCTCTTAGTCTCAAAAATAAAAAAATTTTCAAGCCTTTCTTCTCTTTTCTCTTTTCGAATTAGAAATCTAAACCTTCTCTCACTCCCTTAGTCTTTTCTCTTTCGTCTCTTTCAATTCTTAGTCTCTCTTACTATCTTACTCTTCTAGTCTTCTTCGACTCTTTGTATTTCCCAGATGATCGTGCGGCCCGTGCCAACCACTAGCACCAAGCGGCAATGCCGGTCGCCGCTTCACTGGCAAACAAGCACCAAAGGCATCTTTGATCCCTATATCTCTCCTCTCTCTTTTTCTCTATCACCTCTCTTCTCTGCGGCTCCGCCAGGCACCACCTCTCAAGCTCTCACTTCATGCGACAACCGACAACAACCACCGTCACCAACCAGTCTGGCACCAACAACAACCGCCAACAGTTTTAGTTTTGTTTTTTTAAGTGCATAAAAAAACCGAAAAATCGAATTACGATTAATCGGTCCATCGATTAACCAATGAACCAATTGCATCAGTTCAATTTCGATTTAAATATTTTAAAAATCGATCACGTCGGTTCAATTTGAAAAAATACCCCACGGTTCGGTTAGGCACCCCTATTTTAGGGAATGTTGTAGATATCATTTTAAACTTAAAAGAAGGCGGCCCACACAAACTAAAATCAGAAAGAGAGTTGGCCCAATCCCCACATTGCTTTCTTTACAAAGCTTTCTAAAGGTTGTAGCGGAACCCTTTCTGTTTGACAGAAGAAAGTAGGTGTAGTTCCTCTTCCATTTCAAACCTATTTTTTGTTGTTGGTTTCGTTGGTGGGTCGTGATTCTTTCCAGTTTCCATATGAGATAAGCAGCAGCAAATGTTGGGCCTTCGGGCCCAACACTGTGATTCTGTTTTTGTTTTGGGTGCAACGTTCCATGCAACTCCTGGAGATGATCTCATGGTCCAGTTAAAACTCATTAATGGCTCCAGTCCACCCGTGGAAAAATCCCACCCTTCACCCACGGCCCAACTCAAACAGAAAAAGGAATGAAGCCTGCAGTCTGTACTATTCAAATTCAATCACTGCCTGGTCTCTGGGCCGGTGGACCCCCATTCCAAAAAAGCCGTTGTTGTTGATCAACTCATTTTGAAATCGACAACTGAAAGCGAAAGAAAGCTACAGTTCCCATGTCCAAACCCCAAAAACAAAGCGGTTAGTATCTTATAACAGGGGTTAACCATTGATTCCACGTGTGTATTTCATAAGTAAACGATTTATTTTATTAACCCAAACAACGGAAAGGAAATAGAAATCTAACCGAGTGTCAACCCGTGAAAACGATGATCCACTGAGTTTGGTCCGACTGTCGGAATCTGATAATATTACCCCTCAAAACAAACGCTAAATGCCAAGTAAGAAATCAGAATTTAATAAACAAGCTTTATTCTTAATTCCTCACATCATCCGCACATGAGGACGTGGGATTGGTGGCACCCAACTCAGACGAGCCGTGTATGACGTATCCCCAATTTTAAATTCCATATAAACAGACAAGGGGCCCATTAGTTACGGTCCCATGCCCCATTTCAAATAATGCAATTCTCAACGGTCTTCCCATGCTTGAGGTTTATTTAAATTTAAATTAATTTTTAATTAGTACAACCCATGCCTGGAATGATTGTGTGACAGTGAGTGAGAGGGAGAGTTTAAAATAAAAAATCATAATAATAATTCCTATATAATTAATTAATTAAAACTATTATTATTACTTAATAAATGCTGGATATTTGTAAATTTATATGTTTCCAGGAAGAAACAGAGAGGTTTGGGGTCGGAGCAGTGGGAAACGGTGAAATGAAGCTGATCCCATGCGAACCGTTGGATCGGACAGTGTTTGACATCTTACGGAGATCTAGAGTGCCACATTTGGACACGCGGCTTTACATGTAAACGTGTGTCAGGCGGACTTCTCTATGAGTGGGGAATCTTCTGAATTAATTGAAAAAAGAAATATTCTCCAGCAAAAAGCAATCAAGAACGTCGGTTATTTTTATTTTCAATTTCCAGATTAAAAATTGAATTGGAGATGGAGAGATCAGAGACCCTCAAAACGAAAACGTCTCTCTCTCTCTCTCCCTCTCTCCCTTTTATATTCAACAACATTCTCTCTTTCTCTCTCTCTCCCTTTCGTATTGAGCTTGCTTGCTGACCTACCTTTTTTCTTCTCAACCGTAAGAGGTAGGTCTGGGAGCAGGGGGTTTTGCAGATACGAATCGTTTTGATCGAATCGGTGGTTATTTTCTTTTCTTCTCCAGAAGATTTGTCTCGGTTCTTCTCCAATTGGAAGGAATCAGATCAAGTCAAAGGTTCGCTGCCGTTTCCTTTTCCCCTAATTTTCTCTCTGTTTTTTTTTTTTCCCCAAGGGGAGAAAGAAAACAAGTGACGATGAAGCGGGGGAAGTTGGATATGTTTCTGTCTCTGAGCCGACAGAGATCGATTCAGTTGTTGATCGGTGTAGGGTTTCTGTATATGCTCTTGGTGAGCGTGGAAATCCCATTTGTCTTCAGGAGCGGTTCCATTGCTGCATCTGGAGAGGGCTTTAATGGGTTCATCAGCGACGCATTGCCTCGTCCTCTTAGGCTTGATAGCGAAGCGGACTTGGAGAAGAGAAGAGCTCCTGTCCGACCTTCCAAGGTATCTTTTAGGGTTTCTCAGGGTTCTTTTCAGCCGTCTCAGCAGGGAACGTCCGAGGGACGGATGGATGAGTACAACATTTTGTCAAGTTTGAATTTTCAGGAAGGTGCGTACAACAGTAGCAGTAAAGATGGGTTCTCCGAGCTTCAGAAATCCGCTAAGCATGCTTGGGATGTTGGGAGGATGCTTTGGGAGGAGCTTGAATCTGGAAAGATTCGGCTTGATGAAGAGAGCAAAGCCGAGAACCGATCGGAGGCTTGCCCGCATTCCATTATGCTTTCTGGATCGGAATTTCCTGACCGGGGTAAGATTCTGCTACTTCCGTGTGGCTTGACTCTAGGGTCCCACATTACGCTTGTCGGAAAGCCGTATGCGGCTCACCCCGAGTATGACCCAAAGATATCACCGTTGAAGGATGGGGATAAGTCAGTCATGGTTTCGCAGTTCATGATGGAGTTGCAAGGACTGAAGACGGTTGATGGGGAGGAACCACCGAGGATCTTGCACTTCAATCCTAGGTTGAAGGGCGACTGGAGTGGAAAGCCTGTCATCGAGCAGAACACTTGCTATAGGATGCAGTGGGGATCAGCACTTAGGTGCGAGGGATGGAAATCTAAGGCCGATGAGGAAACTGGTAAGCAAACTTCATCGACTCTTCTGTTCATTTCTTCTTGCTTTTTGTTGAGTCTTTGTTGCCACTTAAAATTTTTGGGTTCTACTTAAAGTACATGAAAATTTTTTATTTTTTCTCTTTTATTATTGATTTTTGAACTGTTATATATTTAGTTCTCTTCTTTTTCAGTACAATTTAAGCTTATATGCGATGTCTAAATTATGTAATAAGTATTGCCTGAACGTTCTTAGTGTTTTTCGTTGTTTAGACAACATGAGGAGGCCCTTTACATGATTTTACAGCATGGGCTTTCTTTTTCTTCTAAAACCCCTTATCTGCAATAAGTTATGAAAGGTTTAGCTATAACAGAAAAAGATGGGGATTTGTACGTTTTGAGAAAGTTTCGTCTTACAACATTCACACTTTGCGCAGTTGATGGGCAAGTAAAATGTGAGAAGTGGATTCGTGATGACGATGACCACTCAGAGGAATCAAAGGCAATGTGGTGGTTAAATCGGTTAATTGGCCGAACAAAGAAGGTTACGGTTGATTGGCCGTACCCATTTGCAGAGGAGAAGTTATTTGTTCTCACTCTTAGTGCCGGCTTAGAAGGCTATCATGTAAATGTCGATGGGAGGCATGTCACCTCTTTTCCTTATCGCACCGTGAGTATCTTTATCAAATTTCGTTGCTATTGTCACTGTAAGATTCTAGATTATCTCGAGTTTATTTTTTTTGCTAATGTTTACAGGGGTTTGTTCTCGAGGATGCAACTGGCCTTTCTCTGAATGGGGATGTTTATGTGCATTCTATATTTGCAGCTTCTTTACCCACTACACATCCTAGCTTTTCTCCACAGAAACACCTTGAGATGTCTACTAAATGGAAAGCTCCACCTGCCCCAGAGGGGCCTGTGGAGCTTTTCATTGGTATCCTTTCAGCAGGCAACCATTTTGCTGAACGGATGGCTGTAAGGAAGACATGGATGCAATCTGAACTCATCAAGTCTTCAAATGTTGTGGCTCGCTTTTTTGTTGCATTGGTAAGTGCAGTCCTGGATGGTGTTTAGAGTTTTTCGTGAAGTCACTTTTTCAATTGGAGGTCAGGCACCAATTTTTAAGTTTTTTCCTTTTTCTTTTCTTCTATTTTTGAGGACAGCATGCAAGGAAGGAAGTGAATATGGAGTTGAAGAAAGAAGCCGAGTTCTTTGGTGATATTGTTATTGTGCCTTTCATGGATAGTTATGACCTTGTGGTTTTGAAGACTGTTGCCATCTGCGAGTATGGGGTGAGTTGGGGGGGGGGGATAAAAACTTGCATTTACAATTCATTCAGAATTTTCTATGGATTATCTATTGGTATTTGATAATTTTGTTTATTCACAGGTTCGCATGGTATCTGCGAAGTATGTCATGAAGTGTGATGATGATACATTTGTCAGGGTGGATACAGTCATCAAGGAAGTGAAGAAAGTTCCTGTTGACCGGAGCTTGTATGTAGGAAATATAAATTACTACCACAAGCCCTTGCGTTATGGCAAATGGTCAGTGACATATGAGGTATGTATTAGGTTCTTCTACTAGGCTGCCACAAGGATTTAATGAATTCTTTACCATTGGTTTTGTATATATATTTTGCTTTCAGCATAGAATGTTGAGTGTTTCTAAATATCATGTGTTCTCTGATGATTGTTTTTGTTTATATCTTCAACTATTTACTTGGTCGAATTTATTATACTTTTCTATGCAACATAAAGGGAAGTAGTTGCTCATATTTTAATTGCAACTATTTTAACATATTTTGGTGAATGAATTTGCATTTAAACTGGTATCTATTGGTATTTCTAATGTGGTGAAACAGGAAATTATTTGGATGAGGCTTAGGAGCTGATGACAGAATTAAAAATGGTTCTAAAAAGGAAGAAAAAAAGATTTGTTAGTATATTTGATCTCATATGCTGCAAATGTATCAGCTTATTTTTAAATGATTATGAAAGGTAAATTATGCAAAAGAGATTTCAAAGAATCACATAAGAATGTGTAGTTACTAGGTTAAATGAAGGCTGATTCCTTGTAAGCATGTGCTGTATCAAGGAATGGGCTGATTATTAATTAGGGAAGTCTTGTTCACTTGGATGAATCACCTTGGAACTCACAGTGTGCAATAACATTAGTCCCCCCTTTTGTGTAAATCATGCTTCTTCTGCGTCAAAGAAAACTGTAGGTAATCATGCTTCGTAAGCATGTGCTGTGATGAAGAAACCGTATTCTGGTTGTGCATTCAGTTAATCTCCTTGAAATATATTCTACTCTGTATAAAAATATTGGCTTCCCAAACAGAAGTACCATCCTTACAAATTTTCTCTTGCATATTTCAAATTACTTTTGAGTTTTGATAGTGTTTTTTAACTTTTAAGTTTCATGCCTGTGTAGGGAGTTTTTCTTGGTATTCTGGGGTTTGTCTGAACCTTAAAATGCATTTTATAATTTGACAAGTTCTCACCTTATTATTTTCTGGTGGATTTTAGGAATGGCCAGAAGAAGATTATCCACCCTATGCAAATGGGCCAGGCTATGTGGTGTCTTCTGACATTGCACGCTTTGTTGTCACCGAGTTTGAGAAACACAAGTTAAGAGTAAGTCACATGAACTTGTCACCACTGATTATTTTGGTCTATCTGAGTGTGGCAATTAGTTAACTGAAATTCACACTACAGTTGTTCAAGATGGAGGATGTGAGCATGGGAATGTGGGTGGAACAATTCAACAGCTCAAGACTTGTGGAATATCGACATGATGTGAAGTTCTGCCAGTTTGGGTGCATTGATGATTACTATACAGCACATTACCAGTCTCCTAGGCAGATGATCTGTATGTGGGACAAATTGCAACAGACGGGAAGAGGCCAGTGTTGCAACATGAGATGATGATGATAGACAATGGCGAAGACGTTCAGTGACAACTACTGTGTTGTTAGGTGACTGTGGAGGATCTTTGATGGAGAAAGGCAGTGAAATCAAGTTTTGCAGTCATTACATGATAATGTAGTGTATAGACTGATGGGGTTCTATTCATATGCCCTTTCAAATTCATTCATTATTTTTTTTACTGGTTCTTTTACCTTTTGACGCTGGAGGATGGGGATAGCAGGGTTGGCTGGTGGGCTTATGATGTTTGTGTAGTGCAGACTGCAGGGTACAATGTTAAAGACCTTCATATCTCTGTAACCACCTATAGTTACACCACGGCAGATGAAAATTATTTCATTTTGAAAATATTTCTTGGCCCTGCCACACTATAGAGAACCAACGGGAAATACTTTGCAAGTTTGGATGAAATGAGGAGATCTGGGGCACCAAATTTCTTAGATTAACTCGAAAGGAAAGATTCAGTTGGGATCTAGATTTTAGCAATGTACATGAAAGCCATGATGAGCACAGATAAATTCTTTATTGTACATGCAAATATATGCAATTGTAGTGCTTGCCTCGTGCTGCCTAATTTATATATCATATTTAGCAATCATTGTTTTCCTCATTATTCGTACTGCATCTCGTATTTGAAAACACGAACACCACTGTTTGTACCGTCAGGGCGTCGAGACTTTTCTTTACAGGGGTTTCAATGCAAACTGTTCTACCCCAAAACAGTTTCCAACCAAACGGAAAATTGACATTAAAACTCGTAAGGCCACAATCAACTACCAAACAACCCTTTAATTTAAGTCAAGATTTAAAGTATCGTAGGGCGTATCAGCCTGTATTGGTATTTTTTTTTTAATTTTATTTATTTATTTTTTTAAAATAGATTCACAGGGATTGGTTTAAGACCTGAATCTGACCCCGATATGATTTTTGGAGGAACATGTCAAGAAGTCATTGACATGATACATATTAATTTAAATAAATCGACATGCAGTACCTATTCCGCACTGGTTATTTAAACTATGGCACAAATGCAAATGGGTTGTTGGGTGGCGCACTTGCGTTGCAGGAGGGATTCAACAATCAACATGGTGTGCTTAGTCAAATGCTCACCGAGTATGCCTACCATCATGTCTCGTCCACGGTCCACCTTGGTTAACAAATTAGCTTTGACTGGAAAATACATTAATTTTTTGTTGAATGGAGGGCTGGTAGCCTCCTGGTACATCAATAACCTCTAATCGTGTTCTTAGTATCCTAAACCAAGCTATCCTCAGAGTATAATAATGCATCTAATCCGAGTATTTCAATCTGCCCAGAAATCTGGTCGTATAATAATTCATTAAATCCGAGTATTTCAATCTGCCCAGAAAGCATTAAAGGGGATGTTTGGCATCGGTGCTGATTTCTTGAAAATTACTGTAATTTCAGAGCCACATCAGTGTTAGAGGAATTGGTACTGACATTTCTATTTGATTCATTGATTTTGATGATTTTTAGGGAATTGGCTAAAGATCAATTATGACTCTGGATCTACTACCCAGGAACTCTACCCATACCTATCCACAATATACTACCCTCTGGAACATCTCCCCCTGCATAATATTATGCAAAGGATGAAATGTTCTTCATATATGATTCCGATAAATATGGGCAGAATTCTCGTGGGCAAGAGATCGGACTCATTAAAATCGACCCTTTTCAGAAATATAAGGAAATTGAATAATAACTGCAATACAAAAATATAAGGAAAAATTAGCATTGATGTCAAATATCACGCATCCGAAGAATTTTGGAGATATTTGGGATTGGTGGTGCGTTTCACAACCGTTTCATTTATGTGTCATGTGCGCCACATCAGCAAATAAAAGGAATAGGTAAAAAATGGTATCTGGTAGTCCTGTTTAAAAAAAAAAACATTTTATAATAATTAGCTTTAAGATTTGGGAAAGGAAGAATTTCTTGAAACGCCAAATTTTCATTTCTTGAATCACCTTAATGTTATAAATATATTATAACATTAAGTCAAATTATTTTAAAAAACCAGCAGCCTGCATCCCATTTTTTTGTATTTCTCAAAAAAAAAAAAGATGAAATGAATCACTTGTGAATCAGGGCCCACTTGTGAAATGGAACGGTCATGAAATGCACCGGTCCCAAATATCCCCTTTATTCAAAATAACGTTATTTTGATCAAGGTTTTTAAAACTGAATCGGACAATGAACCGTTCAGGGGTTTGGTTTCCGGGTCGAATGGTCCAACTGTTAGAACCAAACGGATGATCCATTCTGACAAAAAAATTAAAAAATTAAAAAATGCCAAAAACCGTTAGACAATTCGAACAATTCAACTGCCTGAATCAGCAATTTGATGACCAAATCAATGGTTTTTGGCCAAAAGATGGTTATAGGGTAAAACAAAACTGGTCAGATGACCAATTCCTGGTTTTTCCGATCCTGGTCCGATTTTGAAAACCATGATTTTGATGACGAGGACGTGTGGGAAAATTTCGGCTGTTCTTAGGCTGTTTTGGGTGCCTTACAACGCATGACACGTTGTCATGAATGTATCGTGTGCTGGAAACCAGAAAACAGTTCAGGCCTTTTTTTTTTTTCATTCCAAACAGCCAAAGTTTTTTCAGGACATGCAGCTTGTTGTGAATTTGGGAAGTATATAGCAAGTGACCCAGTGATGAGTCGGGCTTGATGCGCTAAATATCAAAAACAAAAACGCCCTGTCGTATCTGGCTTTTGCAAATTGAGCCAACACTCTTTGCTATACTTAAATGCCAACACTCTTTGCTTATTTATAATTTACTCTTTGATGTAACTAAATTATCTTGATTTTCTTTTAAGAAATGATCAAATTAAAGGGTATTGATAAAGGCTAATCTCAGTACTTCTCTACCTTGCCTCCAAAGACAATCTTTCTTCAAACTTGAAGTGCAATCCAAGAAGAAAACCCAAATTCCAGGTTCCCAAGCTACAAATAGCCATCCATAGCTCCCATTTTCCCCCATTGCAGACCAAATGAAGCAGCTCAGTCTGTCCGCCACATCTCTTCTCACCCTTCTGACATGGCATTTTATGTTGTCTGGTGCATCTGTTTCTCATTCGTTATATTAGAATTGATTTATATATTACTTTTACTAAAAGCAATCTATGTTGATGTTCCATTAATCTCATCAGATGATGATGATGTTTTTCAGGCCATGCAGGACAAGCATGCACATTCCTCATCCACAACAAATGCCCATTCCCCATATGGCCTGCCACAGCCTCGAATGCAGGCCATCCGGTTATAGCTGATGGTGGTTTCTACCTTCCTTCAGGCCAGACACGGCGAGTTACAGCCCCAGACACGTGGAATGGCCGGATCTGGGCGAGAACTGGCTGCAACTTCGCGTCGTCCTCTAAGCCTGCCTGCCAAACTGGTGACTGCGAGGGACGACTTGCCTGTAGTGGAAGCATAGGCCTCCCCCCAGCTACACTAGTTGAGGTGTCTCTGCAGCCAGATAAGAGCAAACCCAGTTTCTACGATGTCAGCTTGGTTGATGGGTATAACCTCCCTGTCTCTGTTTCTGCAAAGCCCTTTGCATCCAATTGCTCCATTACAGGATGCTTGAAAAACCTAAACAGCCTCTGCCCATCAGAGCTTCAGGTGTTGAATGCCTCTGGACAGGTTGTGGCGTGCAAAAGCGCATGCTTGGCTTTCGATCTGGATGTGTTTTGTTGCAGAAATGCTTATGGGAGCCCTGAAAAGTGCAAAAGCAACATGTACTCTGACATGTTCAAGGATGCTTGTCCTTCATATTTTAGTTATGCTTTTGATACACCCCCACCCTTGGTACGCTGCACTTCTCAGGTGTATGTAATAACTTTCTGCCCCTCCAGGTGGGGTGATCACATGCCCATATAGATGGCTGCATTGTATTGAAAGCCGCTTTGAACTTCAAAGTATCAGTCTTAAATATTGATTTTTAATGCTTGGGTTTGTTTTTTTTTTTTCTATGTAGCAATTAATCTCTTCTCTTTCCTTGGCTTTTGTGATTATATTCTTGGTATGTGAGTAGAAGAACCTAAATTGTTATTTCATCAGCACAAACCCTTATTCTGCTTACTCATGGCTAGGAAGTGGGGTTTATAATTGTTAAAAGTGGGCTCTCAATAAAGTAAAGTGAGAGGATATGGGGCGGTTCTTAGGTTCTATGTAAGATGGAGTGTGTTGAAAGCACAATGCATTTGAGCCTCCAACAGAGATATATATGAAGAAAGGTGCAGTGTGTTGAGAGTACCATTCATTTAAAGAAGATACAGTCACATGGGCTTGTCTACAAAGTTGAGTTTTACTTCATACTGTGGTGTTATCTCATGTGTAAAGCTTGATAATGAAGCCTAAAAGGACAGCCATGGAGGGAATACTCTTTGTTAATTAATTTGGTGCGCTACGAGATCAAATATGCAATTTGCAAAAGGGGGATCTCTCTCTCTCTCTCTCTCTAGATGTTCTGCGCATACAATGAAAACATTTAACAATGGCTTCCATTGCAGAGATACACTAATTCCAACAAGTTTAAATGGATAAAGCTTGCCATGAGAGCAGAGATATGATTATAAACTAACAAAAGAATCAGAAAAATAAAATATTGTGGAAGTAAAGTGAAGGTCTTCTCTTCCATTCAACCGTGGAAGTTGCTATAAAGCATGGATGCTGAGCCTCAGCTTTAAGGCAAAGGTTCTAGTTCGCAACGTGGATCAGGAATCTCCAGCTTCCCTAGATCATTTTTGCCCCCCCCCCCCCCCGAAAAAAAAAAAAGTCCCCACTAGTACATGTTTTTTCCTATTATCACTGCATCTACCATCACCTTATCCCCACTCTGCAGAACTGTCTATTTAATCTGATGTTGAGGTCCAAATCTCCTTTATTAATTAAATCTAATATCTTGGAATATAGCCCAGAGAAGATGGATTTCGTTTCCTTGCTACAGTTCTCAATCACAGAACACAGTATTAACAGTACAATAGAACAGACTTAAGACCTGGGAAGATGCCAAAATAATGGTAATTGACTCATTTGAGTTGGTAGTGCTATCTTCATACTTCTTGGCTCCTCTACATCTTGCTCCACTCACATACGTGCAAAACCATCTGCAACCAACTTCTCCAAGACAATTAACTATATATGAAAAGGTATTGAATTCTCATTTTGGGACTGATATGTTGAATTGTTGATCATCGACAACAAACAAACAGAACAAGATAAAACACCAGGGATTCACTTTTCTAGTTCACTTTGTACTTGGGATTTGCATCTACTGATCTACAGAATGCACAAGGCCGCACGGCCCAAATTAGAAGCCATACCAAAGAAATAATCAACCAAATCCCTGCAACAACAACAAATAACATCCACACTTCAGAAACCCAGCACTACTATGTATCATCACAAGCTGTCAAGAAACAAATTTTTTCTTCCTTTTTGGTGAAAATCCGCTTACCAATCTGTGGTGGGTTGAGCCTTATACCATTGCTCCAGTACGCTTCGAAATAGCAATCCGTCGTAGTATTGACCCCAGTGATGCAGCTACAGATGAAAGAATTAAAGAAACCAGTGTACCCACAAACTCCATTGCTCCTCTCGCAGGTGCTACACTCTCTCGGATAGTCGTTGTTGACATTAAACCGGTACTTCAGAGCCACGCCATAGTTCCAACTCTCGGGATTGGACTGTTGGCCATTAAAGCTGTAAACAGCAGTGTAAGAAGTGCATTGCAGCCTCTGTAGGTCTATTTTAAAAACTGGCCCGAGATCGACCGGAGTATAAACACAACATGTTGAGATTGGCAGGTTAAGCGTGCTGATTTCAGGGCAGGAATAGAGGAGGCTGCAGAAGGGCGCGCCCTCGTTATCGCAGAGTGGGATTTCAGAGCTGTTACCGCCATTAAAGAGGCTGCTGGATTTGTAGAGTGGCGATGAAGATGTGGAGCAATCAAGGAGGGCGAAGACATTGTCGTCGTGGAATACAAATGGGGCATCCCAGTCTAGGCCAAAGCCTTTGCTCGAATGGGTAGACGAGCATGTTGACATGGTGGGGTCTTGAATGTAGATGACCTGGTTGTCGTAGTCAATGGCGTTTACAGGGTAAGAGCCGGTATGAGTCGTCATGCTGAGCTTCTGTTGGTTGCATGTTATATACTTCTGAAATCGGGGGTCGCCACACCCAGGGCCGCTGCCAAATGGGTACCTGATTAATTGGTCGCCGCAGGTTTTTTTGCAGGATTGGGGTGAGACGAAAGAGGGAAGAAAGGCGAGGGAGATGAAGCAGAGGAGCGTGATGAGAGAAGATTCAAGCTTCATTTTCATGGCTTTCATTGTGCAAAAAGCGTAGGAGCTAGAGATGAACTGATCGAGCGATCATTTATTATTTTTAAGTTGGAATTTAGGAGTAGCTAAGTAACAAATCTTCTCTTTTTGTGGGGAAGCAGAGGAGAGAGGAGCATGTGATTTGCTTTTATGGGGATTGGTTCTTGTTGTCTTTTGATTTCTATGCTTTTCTCATGCATGCTTTGCTTGGTTGGGTCGGTCATGTGCATAAATAGCAGAATAAACTTGAGTCAGGGGGGCTGCAACCTGCAGGAACCCTAAAATGACTAGGGGTTATTAATAACTATCTGAGTTGGCATATAAGGATTGGGGCCTACTACTATTGATCTTCAATGGGTCCTACCATTGAGCCCGAATTGGCTGTATAACACATCATGTACACCAGGCTGTGCAATCTACCAGTACATATGGGTCCATAGTAGGATTTGGATTTAATCAGATTTTACTTTAATTTTTTAAAATACAAAAGAATTACAAGTTCAATTATTTTTTTAAACTTTTATATATAATAAATTAATATAAATATAATATATTAAATTTATTATATATAACTTAAAATTTGGATTTTAACCAATCCAAACGAAAATCAAATCTATATCCCATCTAACAGAAATATCGGATCGAACCTATGGAATCTGGATTTTTGGATTTCATTGACAGGCCTCACTACCATTCAAATCACTTAGACAAACTATCATGTTATAAAGCCAGTCAATGCATATGCACCGAGTCAAAGATTGCCCACCAATCTGACGCTGTAGACTCATGGTAGTAGCTTGCTTAGCTGGTAAGGTTCATGAAGGCTTAAGCAGTTGAGCGGCTTGGCTACTCTAAAATTTAAACTTGGGCTATGTTTGGTTTAAAAGAAAAAGTAGAGAAAGGAAGGAAAAAGTAGGAAAATATTTATAAACCAAACATAACTATAAATTCTATGAGAAAAAAAATTCTGAGGCCCTCAAATTTGTCGGTATGTTGGTATATGCCACGTTATTACTTGATCTAGGGGTTAAGTATCTTAAAATAATTGGCTCATTGACATGGATGGAACAAGCCACCCTGAAAATCGACAATTTTGGCTTTTCTTTCATTTGATATGGTCTTTACTTGGCATATAAAAAAGGGTTTTGAACTGATTTATGTTGACCCTATCAAACCACCAAGAAGGGAGTTCGGATCTCTTGCCCACCCACGAGAACTCTGTTCATGTCTACCCATGATATATTACCCCCCATGAATTGGGAACATTTCCCCCTGCATAATACTATGCAGAGGATGAGATATTCTCCATGTGTGACTGCGATAAACGTGGACAGGAGATCCAAACTCTCAAGAAGGAGCCATGTGGCAAAGGATTTTGAATGTAGGGCCCTATCAAGCTCTTAATTTGGTGGCATGTAAGTTGTTTAAACTGATGATTTTGGAATTTGCATTCCGTTTTAGGAGTCGGTGCCTGTATCCAAATTATTTTAAGAGAAATAATATGGCATAATTGTCCTAAAATGCAATTATTTATATAACCATGTCTTCTTTTAATATTTTTTTTGAAAAAAAAAAGCAAGGAACCACAAATAATGGAGTTCACATCTCTGCCCCAAAACGCCCCACAACACATCTTGCCGTGTATTGGGAACATCTCTTGATGGTCCTGATGATGTCATCATTGGGAGATATTCCCAATACATGATGGAGATGTGCTGTAGGGCATTGTGGGCGGCTCCTTGTGGGGCAGAGATGTGATCTCCAAATAATGGATAGAGACTTGAGGGAATCTGTAGACTGACTTCACAATGTGACTTCATCTGGTATTATATTTGGGTGTGATCATGCGCCAGGCTAGGTTTAACACCTATGACCTAAGCTGACCGAGCATTGAGCATAAATCGCTAATTAAATTATGATATAAAATATATTATATAATTAATATGATATAAATATTATATGTAATATATATATATAATTCATTTTAGAATATTTATATACAAAATCTATATTACTTTAAAAAGCACAAATAGCCTTAGTAATATAAGGTTTTGCACAGTACATATTTGTATTTGTATTCCTTCCAAACTAAGCCTAAGTGCTAGATTTAATGAGTGAAAATTGAATGCATTGAATATCTTATAGTTGCCTCTTTTCAACTCATTTAATATTAATAATCGATTACCCTTATGCACTCCTTTCAAACTGAGCCTTAAGGTATTAATTTGCATTCACCTTCATTTAATCATATATTTAAGGAAATTTTATTTTTCCTCATAATTAAATTATATTAATTAAATCCATACATAATAAATTAGTAGTTCCAATAAAATAAAAACATACTTTTAAAATCTACCTAAAAAATAGTGTTTTCATCTAGGCAGTGGTAAGAAATTAAACCATTTCGGGTCAAATGGGCCAATCCATGTTGTCTCAATTAAATAATAAAATTAAAAAATAGATAAAATTCAAAAAATATAAAAATTAAAAAAATTGAGAACATTTTTAACATTATATATCCGATATATTAAACAATATTTCTATTTCTATTTCTTTCATATATATGACGATGTCCAAAAAGGCCCAAGTTAGGATTCCAATGGTCAAGTCAGATAAGACTGGAAAAAGAGGGAATAAGTATGAGGTTTGTGAAGTAAGTGTGATTAATATGGTGGGTAAACAAGTAAATGCCTAACTTCATATAAATTGGGTTATTTGCCTCTCGAAACTGATTGGTCCACTACATGTGTTTGAATGCTTTAGCTGTTTAGCGGGCTGTGGAACCAACGGTGGGGTCCCATGCCATTGCTCTTGATATATGGGGACACTTGTTTTACAGCATGTTGACACATCTGACATACATGGTACAATAGTAGGGGTACTTTAACACTAACCATAAGAGTAGTTTAAGAAATTTACCTTATAAGAAAAAGTTTCACTAATTAATATATAAGGTTAATTGCTGAAACCTCACTTTAAGTTTTTGACATTTGTAGAAACCGACCCTGAATTTAGATAATTGCAATCACCTCCCCTAAATTTTCTAATATAGTTGCAATTGGCGGTTGAATGTTCCACTAACATTTTTATATTAAAATTTTCCAAAAACAGAGACTTTATTCTAAGATTGTGATAAATATTTGGATTATTCAATTTAAATTTTGACTATCAAATGTAAAAGGCCATTACCAGATATAGATTGGATTCAAATCTTTTTTTTACTAATAATTAAACATGTGCGTTGCACATATGAATTACTTGAATTTTAGATATATCATAGTTAATATATAAATTAAGAATAATAAAAGTAACAATATGACTAAAAATCAACTTAAGTACTTGTACTAAACGTGCATGTGCAAAAATTTTAAAGTTTTAAATTAAAATTAAAATTATTATTATTATTATTATTATGAATTTTAATTTTTATTTTAACAATAATTTTTATTTAATATGATGATTATATAACATTAGAAATGCTCTAAAATGTTTTTGACAATATTTTATACTTTTTATTTTTTGTGTTCAATCTTTTTTTAAATATTTATTATTCAATTATGACATCATGAATTTATTTTAAAAGTTAGATCATTGATCCACCATTTAAATAAGAAAATAGCTTTGCTTTTGGATCAGTTTTAAATTATATATTTCATCTACATTATATTATATAAATAATTTTTACTTATCACACTTAATTTTTGTTTGACATAATTAATATATAATTTTTTAAATATTCTTTTGATTACTTGTACTTTTTTATTAGTTTTTAAATATTTATTATTTAACTATCATACCATTTGACCTAAACCACTAACCCACGACCCAAAAAAAAAAGTTTGATTTCTAGGTTGACATTAAATTTTGCATTGCATTTCCATTATTGATAAAATTATATCTTTTGTACAATATTTATTTTTATTCAATATAATAAATGTATAACATTATAGATGCATCCAATATTTTATTTTTATAAATATATAACGTTAAATCTTATGTATAACATTTATTTTTGCAATTCTTTGTATTTTCTATTTTTTTAAATTTTATTATTTGACTATGACATCATTTCATTTCTAAGTTGATTTTAATTTTGGTGTTCCATTTTCATCATTTATAAAAATACTTCATACATTTCATACTTATTTTTTGTTCAGTATAATGAATATACAATATTAATGGCATGCCCAATTCTTTTTTTGTATTATATATTTTATTTAATTTATTTTTTATTATTTAATTATAAAATTATTTATTTACCCATTTGACCCCAAATGGTTGAATTGCTTACCCACCACCAAAAGGGAAGAAAATGGTTTTGTTTTCAAATTATTTTTCAAAATATTTATTTTTTATGTTATTAAAATTAATGTTGTGGATTTTATTCGTAGAATTTAATAATGAGAAAAATATATCTTAAATATAGGATTTAATAAAAGAATATACCTTAGATATGAGATTTAATGAGAGATAATATGAAAATAGTTTTACTTCCAATGGGTTTTAAATTTTACATTCTATTTCCATTTTTAAAAAACCATTTCTTATTTATCATCAATGTTTTCAACTTGTTGTTGACTTGGCCGATTAAACCGTTTAAACTTTCACTCGACCTTGATCCTGGGTTTGGTTCTGTTGAAACTCTCCCTTTCAGTTAAAAACTGTCAAACCCGAGCGGTTCAACTATTGCCCTGTTCGACCCAGTAACCAGGTTGCAGGTTGCACACTTAATTATATGCAAACTTTTGGACGACATAACTTTGCACTCTGATGTCTGATTAGGGTTATCTTTTTTTTATTATTATTTTGAGTAACTTCTCAAGATCTATACATTCCAAGGGCCTTGGGTGCTTTGCCTTGCTATTTTCACGAAAAACCCCTTTTTTAGCCCCAAATTGTAATTTTAATATTTTGTATAAATAAAAAAAATTAAAAAACATAAAAAATGTAACATAATACGTATATTATATACTATATATGTAAAACATAATTATAAAATTTATAGAAAACATAACTATAATATATATAAAGCATAACTATACTATTTATTGATAAAATATGTATTTTTACACACACACACACACAGTGTTGATGCAGAGCGATTTGACTCGTTTGACCTTGATAGTCGAACCGATGACCTATGACCCGAAGTTAAAAGCAGGTTAACCTTCGGGTCGGTTTTTAAAATATTGTTTATCATACTTATTAATGTTTAATATGTCAAATATATGATGTTAAAACGTTCCCATTTTTTTAATTTCTATATTCTTTTATTTTATATATATTTTTATTTTACTATTTAATTCTGGCAACATGGATTAGCCCATTTGACCCAGATGGTTTAATTTCTTACCACCACCTACATGAAAACACTATTTTTTTTCTAGATAGATATTAAAAGTATAAGTTTTTATGTTGTTGAAATTATTAATTTATTGTACATGGATTTAATTATAGGATTTAATAATGAGAAAAAAAAAGTCTTAAATATATGATTCAATGAAGGTGAATGCAAAATAATACCTTAAATGTTGGATTTAATGAGAGAGAATTGAATGCATTGAAAATCTTAATATTATCTCTTTTCAACTCATTTAATATCAATAACCAATTACCCTATTTGCCCTCATTTTTTATCAATAAATTTAAATATAGAAGAGTAATTTTTGTATTTAGAAAATTACAAAAATATTCTTGAGACTATTCGTACTTTTTAAAGTAGTATAGATATAATTTTTTTTTGTCTCTCAAACTTGAACCTCAAGTTTGCTTGTTTTTTAAAGGATCGATTTTTCTACTTGGGAACTAGCCCAAGATTATAACATTACACTAAAAAATGGTCCAAATTGGACCATCAAGTCTGCATCAATTAGAAAAGTTATGTGGAAATTACTTATAGTCCTTTTTTTTTCAAGTCCATTGATGTTGGATTACATGTCATACAATATGTCATCTCTGCAAGGCAATGATCTAATTATTCAAACTTGGCTTACATTTCCAAACCACATTCACAGTTCCTCTATTCTTCTTCTTCTTCTTTTATATTTGCCACCTGTTATGCTTGGGTCGGCAGTAGTCGTTCAATTCAGTTCAGACATTATTCTTAGTTGACTCCGTGAGAGAGGAGAGGAGAGGAGAGGAGAGGAGGATCAGAGGAGGTGACATTCTAGGCAGGTGGAGTGGAATACACCAAAACTTTGGCTGTTGGGGGGCATGACTTGTTAACCCATTCGGTCTTTTCGTTAATTGACTCATTTCCTCTACTTTACTCCGGTCGTTTTATTTTAACAAAAAAAAACTAGTGAATGACCTGTACGGAGAATTAATAATATTAAATTTATATTATGAAATCAATAATGTTAAATTTATATTTATTAATATTTTAAATAATTATTAAAATTTTAAAAAATAATTTGTTAATAATTATTAAAATATAAATAAATTTATTTTTTATATTTTTTAAGAATGTCTATTTTTATAAAAACAAAACCTTCTATATATATTATATTAGATCTCACATGCCATCTGACGTTGCAATGAAAATCTAATTCTCCGACGTCATGAGTCAACGTAAACGTAGATCACGATTCACGAAAGCAACTTACCTCGCAGTTGCCGATCGAGAACTCAGTCTACAGTTTACAGCTCTCTCATCACCTTCATCTCTTTCGACAAATATATAAATTATATATATAACCCCAAACACCCCAAATGCCCTCATCTGCCTTCTTCTCTTATTCTCTTGATCGAAGAAGAAGAAGAAGAAGAAAGCATGACGCCGGGGGAGATGTGGGCGGGATTTGGATCGGCCATGGCGGGCATACTGTTCCTCACGTTTCAGCAGCACTTCCCTCACCAGCTTCGAACTTTCATTGAGAGATACTACCATCGCTTCCTCAACTTTTTGTACCCTTACGTCCGAATTACCTTCCACGAGTACAACGGTGACAGTTTCAAGCGCAGCGAGGTCTTCACAACTATCCAGTCTTATCTCATCTCCAATTGTTCCAAAGGTGCTAAGCGCCTCAAGGCCGATGTCGGCAAGGAAGACAAAAATATCGTCCTCAGCATGGACGATAACGAGGAGATCACCGATGACTTCCATGGCGTCAAGCTCTGGTGGTCTTCCAACAAAATCGTTCCCAAGACTCAGTACATCTCTTTCTATCCCGCCTCCGACGACCGGCGTTCCTACACTCTCACCTTCCATAAGCGTCACCGGGAGCTTATCAACGGCTCCTACTTGAAGTACGTCATCGACCAAGGCAAGGTCATCGCCGTGCAAAACCGGCAGCGCAAGCTTTTCACCAACAACCCCAGCAGCAATTGGCATGGTTACAGGAGTAAGGTGTGGAGTCACGTAGTGTTCGAGCACCCGGCGACGTTTCAAACGCTGGCCATGGATCCCGACAAGAAGCAAGAGATCATCGATGACCTCAGTACTTTCAGAAAAGGCAAAGAGTACTACGCGAAGATTGGCAAGGCATGGAAGCGAGGCTATCTACTCTATGGTCCTCCCGGAACTGGTAAGTCTACCATGATCGCCGCCATGGCCAATCACCTGGATTACGATGTCTATGACGTCGAATTAACGACCCTGAAGAACAACACGGAGCTGAGGAAGCTGTTGATCGAGACGTCCAGCAGGTCGATCATCGTGATCGAGGACATCGACTGTTCGCTTGATCTTACGGGACAGAGGAAGAAGGAGAAGAAGGAAGAGGAGGAAGACAAGGAGGCACACCCAGTGAAGGCTGCTCGAGACCAGGCCAAGGATGAAGGTAGCAAAGTTACCCTCTCCGGGCTTTTGAATTTTATCGACGGGCTATGGTCGGCCTGCGGCAGCGAGAGGCTCGTTGTTTTCACCACAAACCACATCGAAAAACTAGACCCTGCTCTCATCCGAAGAGGTCGGATGGACAAGCACATCGAATTGTCCTACTGTACCTTTGAAGCTTTCAAGGTTCTGGCCAAGAATTATCTCAACCTCGACTCTCACGAATTGTTCGAGAAGATTGGCCGTCTGATGGAGGAAACGAAAATTACCCCTGCTGATGTTGCCGAGAATTTGATGCCTAAAACTCTAAATGGAAATGCTGAGAGCTGCCTGGAGAATCTGATCAAAGCACTGGAGACGGCGAAGGAGGAAGCCATCTTGAAGGCGGAAGAAGAAGCCAAAGAGAAGGCGGAGGCATTGGCCAAGGGAGATGGGTCATCAACTTCCAAGGAAGGAGGGAAGGAGGATGAATCGTCAACCAAAACTGAACAGAAAAAGACCGAGTCAAGCTGCCTGGATAATTTGATCAAAGTACTGGAGACGGCGAAGGAGGAAGCTAGCAAGTTGAAGGCAGAAGAAAAAGGCAAAGAGAAGGCAGAGGAAGATGGGAAAAGAAAAGAGAACGCTCCGGCTCCGGCTCCGGCTTCGGCTTCAGCTTCCAAGCAAGGAGAGGAGGGCGAATCGTCACCCAAAACAGAACAGAAAGAGACTCAGTAAGCAGTTTGAAAGACGATTTGGAATAAGATGGATTATAAAATCGAAATGGAGTCCATATAAAATCTGGCTGTGGTTTTTCTGTATTGTTGTGATTTGCAGATAAAACTTAATTGTAGGGTAGGCCGTAAGATTACACCAACTTTGAGTTCATTAAGTTCGGATGTATTTTCCTGTCTGCATATTTATATATCATCATTTGAGGTCAAAGATCTATTTATGTTTGCTATTTGAGTGGAGAGATACAAATTCAGATTGTGGTCGGGACTCGGGATCGACTCAACTCAAACTCTTTTCATGCTTTTGGGATCGGAAGCTGATGCACATACACGGCTACTTAATACTTGGTGGCGTTCCAAGAAGGGTCATTTTGTGATTGACACGTCATCCTTGCTGATGTGGCAAATTTTAGCCAAGCTTTGAGGCCAACCCACTTGCTTTTGTCTTATGCTGCAAGTTTGGGGACGACTTGGGAGTAGTTTTCATTTTAAAAGTGGCTTTTAACAAGCACGACGAGCTTATTTATTTATTTTGCTCCATAAACCCAACCCCCCACCCCCACCACTTTTGCATGTGGGATTTGATCCCAGGTCTCAACTACACTTACTTAGATAAGGGCAAAAGACTTAAATATATATACCCTTAGCTTTTTTACATAGAATTTATTTTGCCCTTTTTACTCCTTATAACATATATTATGAGACATAACTACAAAAATCTTAGGCCCCATTTGGTTCATTGGAATAGGAGTCTAGAATCGGAATCAGAAATCAGAATAGATTATTCTAATTCCGACTGTTTGATTGGGTGAAATCAGAATCCTTATCCCTCCCTTGGGAATGAAATCCCACACCTGTTGATTTTAATTTGCATTCTTATTCCTGTCTGAACCGAACCAAACAGACTATGGAAATGAAGCATTCTGATTCTGATTTTGAAGGATTTCGATTCCAATTCTAACTATGAACCAAACGGACACTTAGCTCATTGAGTGAAAAATGATTGCTCCTTCCACTATTTTATATTGGTCCAATACCACATTGATTAATCAGGATGTATAGTGGAATCAAAAGATAAACCGCCCTTAGACACACTCTTCCGCAAAATGAATGCAGAATAACCACGATTCAGGAAGCCTTGGGGTTCCTCTTTGGTACAAAGCTTTCAACAATTTCTTTCATCACAGAGTGATGTTGGAGTTCACAGCCCCATTTTCCCGTAATCAGTAATAAAGTACATAACTGGTTTGAACATGTTTTTAGTGGAGGGTGGATCTTTGTGCATCTCTTTCTCTTGTAAGCATGTTTTTGGTAGAGCCAAGACTTAAGAGAATAATTAGTTTAGAGTTGCAATACACCGATGATTTGATCTCTCAAAAATGCAAGGCAAAATTTATAAAATAAAGCTTTGCAATTGACACGAGTTAAAACATAAATGGCTTGCAAGATAAGTTTTAAGGGTAAATTATTGAAATCTCCCCTAAAGTTGGGAAAATTTATGATGTGGGAAAGACATGGTATTGAAAGAGTTTTGACCAAGTAAAATCTACCCATGAATTTTGATAAATAACCCCTGATTGGCTATTAGGGGTGTCCATCAAAAACCAAAAAAACTGATCTGAACCTAGAAAGTCGAACAAAAAAATGTAGTCAATCGAACCGATCGGTTTGATTTCAGTTTGGAATTTTTGAAAAACCAAAGGACCGGTTCAATTTCAATTAACCTACAAAAAAATCGATGGTTAATCGAACCAACCTGTTCTAATCATAGGCATTAAAATGTCTAAAATACCCTTACATTTACTTTTGACCAAAATGTTTTTTTTTTCCAAATTTTCTTTTCATAACAATTGCTTCCCCAAGAGCGGGGAGCCTGATATGCCTATCCACCCACATGAGTTTGAAAAAACTTGGGTATATTTTACAAGTTTGAAAGAAAATGAAATCTATTTAAAAAAAAATGGATACATTTAAGCCAATTTATGAAAACTCAGGTATGTTTAAGTCTGCTAGATAATCGCATTTAAATGTTTGTGTGTGACATTCTAAAAAGGCATTTTCTTTATAAAACGGCTTATCTAACACTTGAAAAGCCAAAAATCCAAAATTTTTTACCTCTTCTGAATGTACCTTCTGGGGTGATAAAGCACTTTTTGGGGTCCCTCCAAACTCTTTTCCAAGGGATTTTATCTTCTTATAATAAGACTCACAGTCACATGATACAGTGACTATAGCCTAGGCTACCAGTTGCCAGCGGTTGTGCGTCTGCGCCATTGATGATTTGAGCCTGAAAGCAAAAACCGTGCAGAGCAAGTCATCCGGTCGAATATCACGAATATCTCGCATACACGCTTTCAACACATCAAACCTCCATTTCTCAGGGAAGAGAAAGAAAACACTGAAGAGAAGGGAAATACACGATGATACCCAGAAACTCTCATGGTAACATGCTCAACCCAGAAACTCTTTCCTGTGAACCCCAACAGCTAAAGTTTTTCCAGTGAAACGTACCTAAAGGCTACAGGCTGATGAGCTTCTTTCATCCTTGCATATGTATATTTCAAATTTTCAATCCACGAGTTCACCGGAGACTGCCACGAATGAAGCGAAGTGCCAAAGTCTGCTGCTATTGGGACGTATTCCAGTATCAAAACGTCCGAGAGTGCATAGTGGCACAACTGCTTAAGGCCAAGATGTGCAAAAAACAGCATCAACCTGGTGCTCGAGCACGGGTGACCATGGGAGGGTCACTGATGAATTTGATTGCAGACAGAATGGATTTTGACCAAGATTGATCCACCGCTCATGAATTGGGATTTCCTCCTCATAGAGCATTCTTCGCATCACCTCAGTCACATCCCACCATGTAGTGTAAACATCTCCCCATAATAATAGGCCTTTTTATAGTCCACTCCACCTCAGAACTGGGAAATTAATTCCTCAAATGCGTGAATTGGGAATCTTTCCCCCTTGACCCAGACCTGAACTGTACAATCACAATATGAGTTCTGAAGTGGACTGAACTCAAACTACCCCTAATACAGAAGATGCTCCCAATGTGCGCCGAGACATGCTGTGAGGTCAGTGTGAGGAGCAGATCCGGACTCGCTACACAGTTCCATCTCCTACCATCCAGAGCCCGAGAGGAGATACTACAGGCTGACATTCCACGGGCGTTATCGGGAATTCATCATGTGTTAAAGCGGAGAAATGTGATCAGAGTGAATAACCGGCGAAGGAAACTCCACTCTTAAAAATCTCTAAAACCATGCCTAGAAACATGTGGCCTCCACCTAGCAATTCTCCAAATGATGGCGATGGACCCTGACAAGAAGCAAGGATATTGACATATTTTCGATGATCTCCTCATCACCATGCAAGTATAGGGAAAGTGTGGAAGAGTGGGTACCACCTCTATTGGTCCATCAGAGAGAATTTCACCATGATCGCTGCCATCAGCGATCAGCCATGGCCAAAATCTATTGAGCTCGTCGCTATGAAAAATAGAAAGCAACAACTATGGGAGACTGGGAATTACTGATCGAGACAAAAGTCTGCAGGAAATTGATTTTCCCTCGATCTTACTGGCCAAAAGAAGACTGAGAAGTCATTTTGATGGTGACAGAAGGAAAGAAGAATCCCACGAGTAAAGAAAAGAACGTCAACAGCGGAAAGTTTACACTTTCGGGACTTCTTGCAGAGGGGAGAGATTAGTCATACTTTACCAATTACCATTAACTAAATTTGATGAGGTAGGAAGTAGGATAGACAAGCACATTGAATAGTTAAAAATAAATTCGAATGAATAATTACTTAGACCTAGACTCAAGACTCACGTCCTCTGTTGGCGACCACCCACCAACTGTTGCCCGTTGGATCAGACCTACATCACTCCCGCGGACGTTGTAGAAAGCCTGATCCCAAAACTAAAATAGTAAAGAGACAACTAGGCTGAAGCAAAGAGACAACTAGGCTGAAGGTCAACAACAAAACTAAAATAGTAAAAGCAATAAGAAAGCAAGAGACGAGTCCGTCATTGCAAATGCATGCACAACTACTCTCCTATGATATACAAGACTAGTGGCGTATAGAACAAAGAGCATCTTCTGTAAGAAAGAATCCCTAATATCAAGCTTATCTGTCCTTCACCATGTGAGTCGAAATGCCATTAATCTTTGGCAATTGTCTAACAATTGTGGCTTGATTGCTTGTGTAAGGATTTCTAATTTCCTACCATGTAACGCATGGCCAACACAGTAACTGGCGGTGTGGTAGAAGCTATTTACTCGCAAAAGCCATACTAGGTAGACACAATTTTAATTCCCAAGAACACAAGAATTTCAAAGCTGAAACCAATAAAGAAACATTCTTACCTCGTGAGGGAATAGTTCCGTTACAACAAGAGTCAGTTCTCTATACATCATTCTGCCAAGTGCCAACCGATCAAACTCGAACTTGCAGAAAGAAAGCAGGTGGGTTTGGACATCTAAAAGCCAACAATTCTTTATGGATGGCATATTAGTTTCATGTGTATAGTACATTGACTGAATAAGAGCACACCGATCAAGGACGTCCTATAATCTATAAATTCCCATCTAGTGATAATACATCGCTGTGGATGTAAATTTAATGACTACCCCGTTATAGTTTCCACACAATACTCAATATCATATAGTTTTCTGTGCTTCCTGACAGACGGCTTTGAAAAAATTACATCCGAGTGGCTGGTCGTATTATGCCATGGGAAGGAGAGGACAGAATAGCCAACACAGATGAATCTATCGTACAACCAGCTTCCTTGAGGAAGAGGACAACACCTCCGCAAATGATCTACAACTACAAGTCTGCATGAACGCAGATTCTTCAAAGGATGCTTCAGAAGTTATCGGAGTCTTCATCTTTCATTAGCATGCCAGGGCCATCATCAAAACCACTCCCCGGGGCAAGCTCGTTTAAGTCTAAAAATCTCCTTTGTACACCCTCAACCTCTTCTTGGCCTAGGCCATTTGCTTTTTCAGGTGGTTGAGGCTGTTCCTTTTCTACTGTCTCATTGTAGTCTTGAACTGCTTGTTCAACTTTCATTTCCTCCTCATCATTGTGCCGAGAATCACCGCTCGCCATTGATGACACATTATTGCTTGCATCAGAGTGACCATCCGATGTATTGGACTTCTCAGGTTTTGTCTCAGTTTCAGAATCTGACAGCTCATAGTGTCGATAATTTATTCGGTTTCGTGTAGCCCTCTTGCTTCGCCTCAGTCCTGACTGGATCTCATCAACAGATCTTAATTTAGTTCCCCTCCTTCGACTAGAAAAATTCTTAGGTCTTTGTAGCTCATCAGTATCCTCACTACTAAAAGAATCATCATATTCATCATCCTCCTCATCTTCAGCATTTTCTTCATCCCAATGGTATTCCTCATCTCCCTCAGAGCTGCTGGAGACCTTCCGTTGTTTCCGGCTCCTTATATACTCCTCATCATATACTGCTTCTCCAACTATATCATCATCACTGTCAAAGTCCACCTCATCTGAAACAGCTTCAACAAATTCTGAGTACTTCTCTGGCCTCTGCCTTCTCCGATTGCTGCATATCATTTACTAGATTATCACTGAAGGTAACAAATAAATTTCAGAAACAAAGGAGGAATTGCAATATACCTGCGGTCCAGATTTCCAAATTTATGTTCCCCATCAGTTTCTTCGTGATCAGTTGCCTTTGGCGATAATGCATCATGGGGCATATATTGTGGGGCCTGTGAAGGACCATTCCATCTACCATTTGTCAATGCCTCGTGTTTTGCAACTTCTCTTCTGGCAACATGTTCAGGGGAGGACTGTCTTCTCCTAAAATATTATAGCAATTGTGAAATACAATATAGATAAGTCATGGCAACAAATGGTAGACAAAAGAAAAATAGCTTCTACTCTCAGAAGGAAATAAAATATGAAAATGAAGAGGGAGTACTTCGTTATTTTAATGGCTTCGTTGATTGAACGATCAAAATCATCTGCCAAATAGATAACATACTAATTAGTTATCCAAATATGTGACCACAACAACACTGCAGCTAAACCAGACCATGTTGAGACAAAGCAGAAGAAAAACCGAAAAGTATTCATTAAGCATGATAAGCATTACAAAAGATGCAATGCAAGCTATGTTTCTAATGTTAACTTTTCTTTCCCTCCAAGGATCTCAATGAACGAGGAGCTTATAAATGGTTACTTTTTATTTTTTTCCGCATGCTTAATAATAATGCATTCAAAGAAAATGAAGAACCGAGAGATGAGTGCAAAGACGATATTAGGTTGAGAACAGTAGATAAATGCGACAATGCTTGTTGCCAAGGTTCAAAGTATCGATACGTATCGGCCCATATCGGCCGATATGCATCGGCCCGTATTGGCCGATGTGTATCATATCGGGAGCTTCCCGATACGCCTCTACAGAGGGTGTATCGGGGTTTTGACCGGTTCAGGGGGTGGACGGACAACCTTGCTTGTTGCCAAAGATGGGATCAAGACTCACAATTTGGTAGACCCAAATTGGCCATTTGTTATGGTCCAGCTGGATTTGGAGACCCAACAAGGCTGAATAATTAAGCACTGGTACATGGATAAAGATTGGGCAAAAATCTAACTACAGAAGCATGGTAGTAGATGCCTTACAAACAATAGAATGGACAAAGGGCTGCAACATGCAAATGTTAATTCATTTTTCTGAATTCAAATTTGAATTGAATCCAATTAAAGTGATCTAAATTTGATCTGTTTATAAATGGATCAAAGATGAATCCACCCCATCTGATCCAATACAATCAGATATGATCATCATCATCTAAGCCTTGTCCTAACTATTTGAGGTCAGCTATATGAATACTGTTTCACCATATGAGCGATTAAGGTGCTGTTTGGTTCGTGGTTTTAAAAAAGGGTGACATAATTTCAAAACCATACCAATCTTTTTTTTTTTGAAATGACATTTTATCTTGGAACCACACAATGCAAAAAGAGGTTGCTTTGTTAATGGTTCTTTTTTTTAACCACACCTGTACATGTACTTTAACTATCTACATTTGAGTGTACGGTCATCATCAAATAGAGACATTATGGCTGGAGCCATATTGGTCTGTGAGATACACCATATAATTGCCAATGCCATGCTTATATCAGTGAACAATGTTTCCTGGTTGAAAAATCTATAAAATGTTGTGTTCGGAAAAAGGCCATTTTGCTGGTTCTGGAACTATGGGCATATAAATAGCAACCAAATGTTATTTGTGTTCGTCAACCAGATGAAAAATAAGAAAAACAGCCTTTTGAGAAGAAATGACTGTTTAGAAAGATGCAAAAGTTCAAAAGAAAGTAGCAGAAATCAGAGTTCAAGAGGAGAGAAGAAGAAGAAGAAGGTGGCGGCAACTTGGGTTCAGAGAGAGAGATTTTCGAACATAATCTCTTCTCTTACACCCTTAATTCTATTTTATTAAGTTAAACTTTGGTAATTTACAGAGAAGTCCCTAGTTGGGCAGAAAATTAAAA